GGAGGCATTATAATGTGACGGTCAATCCCACTAATCGTTGGTAAAAGAGTAGCCCAAGAGTTAGCGGTGGGTGGTGATGACTAGCTGCCTTCCCTCTAGTCTTTCGCTCCTAAATTAGGGACGGCTAGCGCAGATAGCCCTCGTGTAGCTTTGCGCGAAATTAAAAACAAAACAAAACAAAAAACAAACTAAAAGTTGAAACTAACTAGCGTCGAAAGTTCATCCAGGAATGATTTTGGGGTTAAATTATAACTCACTTCACACAATTTCTAGGTCGAAAATTGATGAACTTTTATTATAGTTTGTCTGTACTAAACAATAAGATTATATAACTTTTACTCAAGTTGATTTTAATATTTTAGTATAATTTAGAAACCGTAGCAGCGATTGCGTGACGTCACTTCTTGCAACAGATTTTTTTAAAACACGAGGGTTTCATTAAGATTGCATGGAAACTTGACGTCACATACTTTGAAAGTAAACTTCTCAACTTCCATATTTACCTTCTAACGTTGAATACTAGAGGGCATTTGTGTCTTGTATGGTAGATCAAGAACACAAGAGGTCGCCCCTGTGGATGTTAAAAATTCTAAGCTGGCTCTTGTGTGGCTAATATAGAGTACTACGGGACGTCCTCGTAGTTGGGGCAGAACACCAGAGGGCGTCTCTCAGATGACAGATCTAGAATGTTAAAAATGTATTGTACGTGGCGAATTTAAATCAGTAGAGGGCGTTCCACTGAAAGGTGTAAAACAAGAAACCTTTTGGTGCGATTAATGTAGTTGAATTTGCTGGCGTATACTTTCCTCTGTACATAGGCTGACATTATCTGGCGTATACTTTCCTCTGTACATAGGCTGACATTATCTGGCGTATACTTTCCTCTGTACATAGGCTGCCATTATCCAAATCCCCGCGTATCTACTAAAGATTATCTTATTGTACCTTGAATTGCCATTGTAGAAATACGCGCCGACTGGCAAAAATACACAATTACGTCTTACGTCGCTAATGAAGTTTACGACACTTATCGCACAAAGTTTGTATTGTTCTGCAGTGTTTTACGTGTAAGATGACGAAGCCGGCATTTACCTTGTGAACTTTAATGTGACGATTATACCAAGTCGTAACGTGGAACGGACACTCGTCTTAGTTTTTAATCTAATCAAAAACACCTTAGGTGTGGAAAAAAAAAAAAAGGTGCGGTCAAAAAATGATTCAGTGTGCGACTTAAAGGAATGAAATCAAAATTGGCGGCCAAACTTGTAACGTTGATGAGGGTTTTACAGCAGATTGTTCATTTATTAGTTAGCCAGGCTGCGTTTTTTTGTTTGTTTGTTCCACTTGGGGCATGATGGCGGGGTCGCAAGAGAGCGCCAACCCCCCCCCCCCCAGACACACTTTATGTGCAGGGGGCCAGTGACGTACATATACTTCAAATATAGATTCTTTTCCTGTATTGAATTATTCCAGTTCGCACGTAATGCCAAAATATTTAATTACAAATTAATTGAACTTATCTCAAAGCGACTTACGTCATTAGCCATTTTTATCATATGATAATTTTCAAAATGTAGGTTTATTTCTCTTCGTTTCTAATGTAAGTGTCTGACTTACATTGGGTAAGATAGTCGTTACTTGGTTGAGGCGCAAATATTAACCCAACCACTAGGAAACTCACGTAAATTTTATTGAGTTCATATCGTTTTCCGTGTTTCTTTCTTACACGTTAAAACGTTGATCGATGTGGTTGTAATCGTGTCTTTAATACGGAGCGTTTTATATAAAATCAAGTTTTTATTATTAACTGAAAGCTCTGCTGACCCCTTTTTTTTTTATAATTGCTACTTTTACAGTAATATTTCAATCAACGACTGTCTGAATTTTTCATTTCGTGGCGACCCCTCACGTCTAGATTTAGCACTACTTCAATTATTTGAAAAATAAACAACAACAAACAAACTGGAAATATCCAGCATAAATTCGTAGTGTAAACGAATGTATGAGTATAATGAAGTATTATACAGCGTATTAGACTGGCAACAAAATACACGTGGTTTTAAGTTTTATAGTAAAAAAACATACAATCTCAAATTTCGCTGTACGGATTCGATCACTTCGTGTCATCTCCATTAAACTGTACTTATATTAAGTTTACTTATCGATGAACGAAATGGACTCTTCATGGTAGTCTACTGAAGTTTTTATGAAAAATCTAAGTATGAAGGGTGGCTTTGTAATTTACACACATTAGTCATATCAATTCCCGCCATTTTGACGTCAACATTGACGTCTTCTAGTCTCGTTCCCATAGATACTAGTCCTTCGTATTATAATTTGATTATACTTTTTTTCTTTGTAATCAACGAAAATAAACTGAACCAGCTGTTGGTGTTTATAATATGTTGTGGTTTGGTATCACCACAGTTTATCTTATGAAATCAATATGCTATATCGACATGAGCCTTCTCTGTAGTCTAACCTTTGTTTTTAATCATTTTGTTTCTATGTTACGAAGTTGAGTAAAAAAAAAAAAAAACATGTTTATTTAGAATACGACAGGTGCATGCAATAAATCGCTAAAAACTATAGACAGCCGCAAAAAACAACAACAGTAAAACAAAACGATACCTCTTGCCTGCCCATGTTATAAGCATGTCGTGAGAAATATTCAGCAACTCTGAAATTTGCTTCGAAGACGATATACACCACGTGGCCTGTCAGGGTTATTGGGAAACTGAACCTTTTTTTTTTAGTGTTAAATGTTTTACAGTAAAGCTTGAGAAGACTACGGGTTAAGTTTACGCCACCTAGTATATAAATAATCGTCGTATAAATTAATACCTAAACACCGTCTGTTAATTAAAAAGAGTTGTGTTAATGTACTCTTGGCTAAATTTGTAAAGATAGTGTGAATATCAGTAGTTCGCCAGTTTGGTGACATCGTTGTTTCTGCTAATGCTAGTTTCAAGCCAATAATTGTGGTGTTAGGCTTATGTGCTGGGCGAATCAAATGTAAGGATTGGTCAACATTCCAATATTAAGTTGTTGGATAATATTTATGGTAATGGCGATACTAGCACGATGAACCGTGTTGTGTCTATTGCATCGTACGAAGTTTTTGAAGTTGTACAGATCCATACTTTGTGTTTCTAATTCTATAGCTATCTGCATGATTTTGTATATTCTCGACTCGTCGAGAACCATGAGCGATTCTCCAACTTTAGTCGCACTTCCGTTATAAACAGTCAGGGAGTTATGTTGGGTGAATAATTTTGTCAATAATTTTAGCTTTATATGAGTGGTCGCGCAAGTTTTAACGTCGATATAAACGTAATCACTATTGCCACACCATATAAATGACAGGAGTATCTCGAATTACCCAGTGACGTAATAAACACAACATGGCTGTCTGACGTTCCTCGAGAGACACACGTTCGACACGCATGCAGAAAACGAGGTTTTGGTTCACGAGTTTCACAGTAAACGGGGTTAATGCATTTTATGCCTGCGGCACTATACTCGTATGATTTAAAGTAAGTTGTAAATTTTATGGTAACAAAGAAATTCTGCTGTTGATTGTGTCATCTGATATCCTTAACCATCTGGATACACGTTTGGCATCTTCTGAATCAGGCGCCATTTAATAACCTTAACCATCTGGATACACGCTTGACATCTTCTGAATCAGGC